CTGGAATGTGTTGATGTTAACTTCCTGCTACAAGTGATAGAGGAGCCAACAAGGAGAGGTGCTATGCTATTGTTCTCTCAAATAAGGAGGGGCTGAAGGGGAAATAAGGGGAATCTGAAGCTCAAGGGCAGCCTTGGCTGCAGTGACCATGAAATGGTGGAGCTCAAGATCCTTAGGGCAGCAAGGAGGGTGCACAGCTAGCTCACTGCCCTGGACTTCAGGAGAGCAGAGTTCAGCATCTCCAGGGATCTGCTTGGTAGAGTACCATGGGATAAAGCCCTGGAGGGAATAGGGGCCCAAGAAAGTTGGTTAATATTCAAGGATCACCTCCTCCAAGCTCAGGAGCAATGCATCCCCACAAAGAGGAAGTCAGCAAAAATGACAGGAGGCCTGCATGGATGAACAAGGAACTCCTGGACAAATTCAAACACAAAAAGGAAGCCTACAGAGGGTGGAAGCAAGGACAGGTAGCTTGAGAGAAATACAGAGAAATTATCCAAGCACCCAGGGATCAGGTTAGGAAAGCTAAAGCCCTGACAGAAATAAATCTGGCCTGGGACATCAAGAGCAACAAGAAAAGCTGCTAAAGGTATGCTGGTGATAAAAGGAAGACAAGGGGAAAATGTGAGCCCCCTCTGGAAGGAAATGTGAGACCTGCTTACCCGGGATATGGAGAAGGCTGAGCTACTCACGACTTCTTTGCCTCAGTCTTCACCGGTAAGTGCTCAAGCCATACCACCCAGGTCACAGAAGGGAAAGACAGGGACTGGGAGAACAAAGAACTGCTCACTGTAGGAGAAGATAGGGTTCAAGACCATGTAAAGAACTTGAAGGCACAGAAGTCCATGGGACCTGACGAGATGCATCAGCGGGTCCTGAGGGAACTGGTGAATGAAATTGCTAAGCCACTATCCATCATATTTGAGAAGTTGTGGCAGTCCAGTGAAGCTCCCAGTGACATGGAAAGGGGAAACATAACCACCATAATTAAAAAGCGTAAAAAGGAAGACCCTGGGAACCACAGGCCAGTCAGTCTCACCTCTGTGCCCCGCAAGATCATGGAGCAGATCCTCCTGGAAACTACGCAAAGGCAAATGGAAAATAAGGAGGTGATTGGTGACAGCCAATGTGGCCTCTCTAAGGGAAAATCCTGCCTGACAAATTTGGTGGCCTTCTGCAACAGGGTTACAGCATTGGTGGATAAGGGAAGAGCGACTAACATCATCTGCCTGGACTTGCGCAAAGCATTTGATACTGTCCCACACAGCATCCTTCTCTCTAAATTGAAGAGACATGGATTTGATGGATGGACCACTCAGTGGATGAGGAAATGGCTGGATGGTCGCACTCAAGAGAGCTGCGGTCAATGGCTCAATGTCCAAGTGCAGACCAGTGACAAGTGGCCTTCCTCAGAGGTCAGTACTGGGACCAGCGCTGTTTAACATCTTTGTTGGCAACACGAACAGTGGGATTGAGTGCACCCTCAGCAAGTTTGCCGATGACACCAAGCTGTGTGATGTGGTTGACATGCTGGAGGGAAGGGATGCCATCCAGAGGGACCTTGACAGTCTTGAGAGGTGGGCCCATAAAGTTCAACAAGGCCAAGTGCAAGGTCCTGCACATGGGTCAGGGCAATCCCAAGCACAAACACAGGCTGGGAAGAGAATGAATTGAGAGTAGCCCTGACAAGAAGGACTTAGGAGTACTGGTGGATGAGAAGCTCAACATGACCCGGCACTGTGTGCTTGCAGCCCAGAAAGCCAACCATATCATGGGCTGCCTCAAAAGAAGCGTGACCAGCAGGTTGAGGGAGGTGATCCTGCTCCGCTACTCCACTATGGTCAGACCCCACCTGAAGTACTGTGTTCAGCTCTGGAGCCTCCAACATAAGAAGGACATGGATCTGCTGGTGTGAGTCCAGAGGAGGGCCACAAAGATGATCAAAGGGCTGGAGCACTTCTCCTATGAAGACAGGCTGAGAGAGGTGGGGTTGTTCAGCCCAAGAGAAGAGAAGGCTCTGGGGAGACCTTATAGCAGCCTCCCAGTACCTGAAGGGGCCTACAAGAAAGCTGGAGAGAGACTTTTTACAAGGGCATGTAGTGATAGGAGAAAAGGTAATGGCTTTAAACTGAGAGGAGACTTAGATTAGATATAGGAAGAAAATCTTCAGTATGAGAGTAGTGAGGCACTGGAACAGATTGCCCAGAGAAGCTGTGGATGCTCCATCCCTGGAAGTGTTCAAGGCCAGGCTGAATGGGGCTTTGAGCACCCTGGTCTAGTGGAAGGGGTAGTTCCGCTGCTCCCTGCACAGCATGGGGCATGGAACTAGATGATCTTTAAGGTCTCTTCCAACCCAAACCATTGTATGATTCTATGATAACAGTCATACTCCTTTTACATACTTAATATTGCTTCTATGAGAGAAACGAACAGCATAAATCATTAACTTATACACAGCCATGTAAAGAAGTACCTATACAGAGGGCACATTTATTGGGTCAATTGTTTTAGATATAATACCTATATATACACGTTGCAGAGAGTATTAATAATTAGATACACATCTCATTTCACAAAGAAAAAAGTTAATATAATCTTTAAATCTAAAAACCTAAATTGTAAATCTAATCTAAAAAGCTAGTACTCTGGTCTAAGTATTTTTCAGGATTCTAACTTTTTTTAAATTTTTGTTTAATTCAAGGTGTTGATGAAAGTTTACAGCAAGTTCGCTATTATAACAACGTATCACAAGAGAATATTTTGCCCACTATTTCTCAATGTACAGAAAGATAATACAGCAAATATGTGCTGATAATCACTTCCAGAATATAGACGGAAATAATGAAGGGATCATGCAGTCATCGACTGCACTCATAAGACATTACAAGGAGATTCGTAAGATTACAAGGAGAGGGCAAGTTCTTCTTCCATTATTTCCTGCAACTTCTAAAATATTTTACCTCTGTGTGCCTTGTTAGCAGAATAAATACTTCATTTAGCAATTAGTTCTCTGAATTGGGGCTTTGGATTAAAGAAAGGTTCTCTTGAACTTTTGAGGTTTTAATTCAACTAAAGTATAAAGGATTAAGAGGTTTTCAAAACAAACTGAGAAAGTAAATTAAAGTTCAAACTCAAATTACACCTTAGAGTCTACACTCACACTCAAACTGACACTCAATTTGTCATCTAGGCTAGGAAAATAGAAGGAAAAAGCAGCAAGTGAAATGATGCTTTAAGCATATATAGAGGCACACACCTATATTTCAACCTGCTTTCATACTAAAAAAACAAGTAAGTTGCATTATGATATTTTGGCAGTTGCTTTTCCGCAAGCTTAATTACAAATGACAGTTTAAAAGTGCATTATATTGGATGTAATATACTAGGAAAATGCCATGCCATTATAAGAGATCGTGATGAAGTCACAAAGAATCTCCAAAGTTGTAACATAGACCAGAACCACTGTATGTTGCAGGGCTCACAAAACTGCAGACAAGAAACAAAGCAATGTCATCTCCAAATTAGGTCACAGAAGGACCACAGGTGTGTATCGTACAAGGTCCAAATAAAAGAGGATCAAAGGTGTTTTTATTAGTTTCTCACAGCCAAAGACCCAGCAGTAAAATATGTATTAGTGCACAGTCTGTCTGAAGAAAATTCTCAGACAGCTGCTTTGTAGGATATCTTCAGAATTGCCTTCCATTCTGCACACATATGCTGTAGTTTGAAAAGTTAGCATTATAAACTTCCATGATTCTCCTTGGTTTTCAAATTACCTCCTTCAATGGACAGTCATACCTGCCTATATACTCACTGTATCACTGATCATTTAAACTTTGAGGCTTGTATGCTTGGCATTGGTAAATATTACCTCAGAAAGACAGAAGCCAAAAATGCCTTGTTCAACTCAAATTTTTTTTGCATACTTACATTATCAGTCATTTACTTGGTTAAGTTCATGAGTTACTGTAATTTTGCACATGAAAATTCTACAAGTTTTGTGTCTAAAATGAACCAGTTTTACAAAGGATCAAGTTTAAATACTGTGGAAAAATCTTCTGTGATGCAATTCTGAATATCTGATCCACAGACATATCTTGTCTTCTTAAAATGTGCATTTTACAGCTAAATATAATTCTAGGTTTATTTAGGTGTAAACCTGCTGGTACAAATAACGTTGTTCTGTTTCTGTCAGTGTTATGTGTACCTTACACATAAAAATTATTTTCTATGTATATTTTACTAACCAAATCATAAAGTAACAAACTGAATCTTATCCCAACAAGGTATACAGCAACGGTAAAAATAAAGCAAGAATAACTGAGTCAGAGTTCCACGATTCTTTTGATCCATTTGATCCTGGCTGATACTGATGTCTTCTGTATACATCTTCTAATGAAGCTGAAGAGTTACTATGAATCAACTGAAGGATGTTATTATACCTTCTTATAGATGTAGACATTTATGCCTAAAGACACAATGAGACTTCCACAGCATGTACCAAAGTTTTAACTGGTAACAGGCACATATGAAGCAAGATTATTATGCCATCGTAGAAAACTATATCAAAATCGTAGTAAGCTTCTCACAAAATGCACCATCCAATCAGCTTACAAAATTAAATATGGCAGGAGCTCAGATACACTTTACATAAAGAGAATCAATAGGCTGATGAGCTAAACTACTACAAGTGTTCATGAACACATTTTACCCCTGCCCTATTGTAAAGCATGTTCACAAACATCTCCAAGTGGTACGTAACTTGCATTACTTTGCATTGCTAACAGTGCACGCATAGTCAGTTTCCAACAGTTAACAGCAGCTCAGCGAACATGTAACATCTCTTTAAGACAATGGAACTCCACCGCCTTGATCACATTTATCTACTACCTAGTAAGTACCCTTCTTATTTGCCAGTACCTTAGCTTGCCACAAACTTTAAACTCCCTTATCTAAAACAAACCTACACAGCTTTATGCTCTCTTAGAAAAAAACATTACCTTCTGAGGGGCCAAAACCCTCTGCCTGAACTTTTCAATTGTATCTTGACCTGCAGCTGCCCATGCACTGGCAAATGCTTCAGCTTTGTCTTGATCCAGGTGAATGCTTTGCAGCTGTTGTTGCAATGAAGCAGGCTTCAAATTATGATAGACTGCCTGTTAAAGGAAAAATAACTGTTGTCGAGAACTGCTCTGCAAGTTGTGTCAGATATATTCTACCACAGATGGCACCATGTTCACACAAGATTTTTACTAACAACACTACTGTGGGACTACAAGCATCTTAACACTCTGTTCATCTTAACACTCTGACTGAGAAGACAGAAAAGTGTAACTATCTCAATGGTTATCTCAAAATTACAAATTACTCTTCTCAAGACAGACAAACTGAAAAAACGCATATACAAGCTGGATCTGAGTGTGTGTGTATGTTTCCACTGTACATAATGCCAAAGCAGCTATCGCTGGAAAAAACCTGGGCTTTTAAGTCAATTGTGACCATGAAGAAAGGATAACTTTTCCAAATTCACACTCTTCAAGCAAGCTTGAATACTCTGAAAAGACAGGAACAGTTTGACAAAAAAAGTGAGTTAGATAAAGCCTTCCTATTAGCATAAATTTTTGTGGTAAACACTCGATACGGTATTCTGGTCTCCACTTTCAAAATCAGGACTCCATCAGCACCAAGGTGGGGAAAAAAAAAGAAAAAAGAAACAATACATGTGGCAAAGACCACGCAGCAGTCTTCTTACCTATAATGTGCCCATAGACCGAAGGGCTGTTAAAAAAGCTACACTCTGACAGAGCAAGCAGCTACTCTAAGAAGCATAGTTATCAGTGGGAATACATATTCCGTCTGGGACTCTTCTTTGGGCAGATATTAATATCCTTCCCTTTGTTTTATTAAATGTAAAAGAAGTACTAGGAGAGACAGAACTGCTTTTTCTGTTCGTGCTCAATAATCATCATCTAAATGAAGCCATCTGGTGAAATTAGGATCAGGCAACGAAGTTTGCTGTTCAGTTGAGATGAAAATTCAGTATTGCAATCTGGATGTGGCCTCAGGTTTCATTTTGATTTTTCAGTGGATAGGAGCCATGGGGCGGATTGTTTTCTTTCTAACTCTGTGGAATGTGTTAACTAAGTGAACTAATCATAAGCTGACATGCGTAAGAAAGGACAAGATTCAAATCCCACAACAGATCATCAGTATGCACACACTCTGCACAGACTGCACTTACTACACTTGCATGAAATGGATGGGTAACATTGTGGCCGTGACTTCCAAGAAAGTTAGCAGATTTACCAGGCAGTACATTGGCTTCCCAGCCTCAGTAGTGGTAGACTGTAGAACCAGAAAACCTTCTCTGTTTACAAGATACTACACCATGCAGTCACCTACTCATTCAGATCCTAGAGCTACCTCAGGTGTGCCTGTTCACCTAAGTAGAGACTCTGTATTTTTCTGTGCATGAAAATTTTCCATAACTGACACTTCATGTAACTTAAGTGGTGCTCAATAATGCCATCTAGTATTTTCCTTAGAGGAATTAAGAAAATGCATGTCTGGCTTGCTTGCAATGAATAAGAGGAAAGACTGTATCTCATAATTATTAAGACTTCTCTTGTAGTCATGCAGAGCTCGCTTCCACCACCTATATTTATATTAGCTGGAAACTCACTCCACAAATGCAATGACTCCAATCCACATCAGGAAGGCATGCAAACAAAAACAATAAAATCATACCTCCAAAACATACACAATATACTACAGACACGTTTTCACTAATTCTTTTTTAACTTGACTTTTGTATTTTTGAAATCTACAATCAGATAAAAAAATACATATATCAATTCATAAGGATAGAAACAAGGTACCTGTTCTAAAATGAATGATACAGTTTCAAGAACTAGATGAAGATCCTGCTTTTCCAGCGAAAAAGCTATTTGAAGTTTCTCCTCCTCCTCTTCACTGAAGCTACTTTCAGTCTGAAGCACAAAAGTGGTTAGTCCTAACATTCCGTTTAGTGACCAAGAACATACTTGTCAAAACAAAAACTTTCCCCCCATTTTTATAAACATAGTGGCTGTACAGTTGTTTCCAAATAGAAGAAAGAAAGTAAAGCTCTTTTCCAACAGAAAAATACAATGCAATCCCTCCCAGTGAAAATCAAAGGTCAACAGTATTAGATGAGAATTTATCTGGATTACTTGAAATACATCACAAGAAAATGCTTTTTCTTTGTACCTGAGAGACACTAAAGAAATATTTTTCTTTCAACTACCAGATCATCTCCAACAACCTTTTATAAATAAAAATAAGAAAAGTACTAAGTGCATTACTTGAATCAAACCCCAAAGAAAACAGAAGTGTAGTGAAGTTAGCTACATATGCTTCTTCCACTCTGGATACTCTTCTGAAAATCATCCATGCTGTTACAAAGGACATAAAGGCCTGATGTATGCTTATTTTGAAAGTCAGATTTGAATCTATAGCCTACTGTATTACTGAAGATTGAGAATGTGCTGTACTTTTAAAATACAGAAGTTATATTTATTATATTACAGCAAATTAAATAGTAATTTAAATGCCGATATTGCCATCTTTTAAAACGTAATTACTAGCAAATCTATGCTACAGACATAAAAACACCATATTTAGACCACTTAGTAATCCAAAACTGCAAAGCTACACAAAAAAAGCAACTGAGCTGTCAGAATAAACAAAATGAGGCAATTACAGAAAAAATTCAATTATTTCAATATCTGTAACAAAAGGATCAAAACGGAAACATTATTTGAATCATTAGCTCTTAGAAGGAAATGCAGAGCTCTGAGTATCTGCTTTGTTAAGGCAAGCAAGTTTATTTAAAGTTTCCAGTGATTTAACATGTCCTAGAGTCAGATACACTGGAAAGGCCAGCTGAACGATTCATGAGATTGACCGAGTGGGCTAAACTAAAAGCACCACTCCGGCTCATATAAACGCTGATTAAAATTGTGAAGAGCTACTAAACTACTATTGAGCAGTTAGGAAAGAAAAAAAAACCAAAAACCATTGGTGACACCTTCTAGTTACCAATGAGCAATGCAAAACAATTGAGAAATCCCTCTGCCATAACAGCAGCATCCAAGCTAGTAATTTTGGTAGGAAAAAAATCAGCAATTGAATCAAACAATCAAAACAATACTTATAATCTCAGAATTATGGCCTTTAATACATTCGTATTTTCTATCTATGCCGCTCCTAACCTGTGATATTTTAATATTTACTTTGTATATATATGGGCATAGAAAACAAATTCTGTATTTATTTTTGTATCTTTTCTAAACACAAAACAAGGGAATAAACAAAATCTGACAGTGAAAGATAAAAAAACTCAACAAAATAATTTCTGTTTTAGCATTTATATCGCAGTTTCCCCTGCCATATTTAGTACCAAGGTTAGATTTAGTCTCCATTTGACTTTTTGGCACTGTGTGATGAAACTGACTACTGATATTTTTATGTTTTCTTTATAATACAGCTTTCTGTAAAGACGACAAAAATATTCACTAGAAGTTATGGGCTTTATTTTCAACCCCAACTCCACAGATGGCTTTGGACAATGGACACAATGAATGGAAAAAAAAAAATATATATGCATTTAGCCTTTCCCCTATGAGGGCGAGAGCGGCGTTTGTGCAAAAAGCCAAGGATTTTGTGTCTCCTCGGCGAGCGTTCGCAGCGACACTGGCACCTGGAGGGGATGGGCACAGGTTATGCCAAGCATTACTGGTTCTCACATCATTCACCTTCTGCCGCTCAGTCCTGGTTCTTAGTTCATTCACCTGAAATAGTTCTGAATAATTACTGATGAATGAAATTACGATCAAGAATACTTGGGGAAAAAAAATAATGGAAGTAATTGCCCCTTAGCGAAAGGGAATGTCGCATCGGTCCCAGGAAGACGCCTCTGTAGCACTCGCGCAGCAGGGGGACGGGGCCCCTCCTGGCTCGACTCTGCTCCCTTCCCGCTCCGCAGCGGGGAAG